AGCTTTTGAGAGGCCTGCACAATGGCTCATCAAGTGAAGGTACCTGCCATCAAGCCTGAATACCTGTGTTAAGACCCAGGACTCTCATCTTGTACAAGTGTGTTTTCCCATACCAAACCCATTGTAATATGGGTCAAAAGTGGTAGTGATACTACTTTGTTGATAATATTAAGGTTTCAGATTAAACTGATCCATTGAAACTAGATCATGTTGTATTAATAGGTACAATAAGCAAAATCGTTTATATTAAGATACAGACACATAATTAAAACAGTAACATCCTCATCCTGGTAAACTTGTGAGGGCATGGACAGATAGATGGCCACCGTTTGCTTCATATTATGCTAAGTTTATCATATTATGATGATTTCATGTAAATAATAAATCCCACAGGGCTCAGGGGAAACGCTTGGCTTTTCACGTGATGAAGCAACCTGTTTATATGAGCCTCTGGGCTTTGAGTATCACTGGAGATTTTTTTTATCCTCTCCGATCCTCAGTCAAACCAGGAATGGGGACAGGGAAGGACTTGTGAACTGGGTCATTGACTGCCATGTAGGATTGTTGTCCTAAGGGAGTATAGTATGTGGAGCAAAGATTGAGGTCACAGTGTGCTTGTCTATCCCCACGTATAGGATATCCTACACAATGGAAGGTGTGTACTTAGAAAAATAATGTCGATGTGTCGTTTCCTCCTTGACTGTCAATTTTGTTCAATTCTTAACAAATCCTATGTTTGAATTCTGCTCTACACTGCTCTAGGAAAGGTTCTGAGTAGATTGTGTTTTCCTGCCCATTAAGTGTTGAGTAAGGACCTAAGTGCTCAAAATCTATTTTAACTGTTTTGAAAATAATTTTCTTTATTTCTTAATTTTGTATTAAAACTTATGTAGAGAATAGTTACCCTGTCACTTTAAAGTCTGAAAATGGGGCTAGGTGAGATGGCGCTGTGGGTGAGAGTGTTCCTGTGCCAAGTATGAGAATTGCATTTTTGAATCCTTAGGACTGAGGTAAGGATCTGGCATGGCTGTGCATGTCTGTAACCCCAGCATCAGTGGAGTAGTGGGGAAAGGCAAATCCTAAGAGCTCATTGGCCAGCCAACTTAGCAGAGCTAGCAGACATCAGGTTGAGTGAGAGATACTGTCTCAAGGAAATAAAGTGGAGAGTGATAAAGACACCTGATGTTCCATTCTGGCCTCCATCAGCATATGCATGGGTACATAAACCCCCACCTTTCAAACTCTGTCATTATAATCTGATAGTTTCAGTAGTCTGGGGAGTTTATTGCATGTGCCTTGTTCCTATGTATTTAATTACATTGCTATCCAGTCTAGATTCCAGAGTGGGTGGGGATCAGAGACTGTGTTGGTAGCTTGGATTCTTAATGAATCTATCCCAGAGAGGCTCTTTACACCTGAGAAGCCCTTTCTCCTACTCTAGCCTTCCCTTCCTTATTAGAAGAGGTACCAGAGCTGGGCGGTGGTGGCACATGCCTTTATTCCCAGCACTTGGGAAGCAGAGGCAGGCAGATCTCTGAATTCGAGGCCAGCCTGGTCTACAAAGCTACTTAGAGAAACCCTGTCTCGAAAAACCAAAAACCAAACCAAAACAAAAACAAACAAACAAACAAAAAAACCAAAAAGGTACCAGAAAGATCAAAAAAGAGGGGGGGGAGTAACTTGAGTGGCACCTGCCCATAGTCTCAGCTGCTCTGGAGGCTATGGCAGAGAACCACTGGAGCTCAGGAATTTGAAGCTAGGCTGGGCTCAGAGACTGGGCCTCAAAGAAGAGAATACAAGACACCCTGATCATTGGTAAAACCTGCGATTGTTCTTGATTAGTAAATGGCAAACACAATTTCTTAGAACACTGTACTGGCTAATCTTATGTCAACTTGACATAGGCTATAGTCATCTGAGAGAAGGGAGCCTCTGTTGAGAAAATGCCTCCAGAAGACTTGGCCATAGGGCATTTTCTTAGTTGGTGATCGATCAGGGAGGGCCCAACCGATTGTAGGCGATGCCATTCCTGGGCTGGTGGTCCTGAGTTGTATAAGAGAGCAGCCTGAGCAGCAAGCCATAAGGAGTAAGCCAGCAAGCAGCACTCCCCATGGCCTCCAGGTTCCTGCCCTGACTTCCTTAGTGACATGATACATGAAGTATCAGCTGAAAGAAACCCTTCCCTCTCCAAGTTGCTTTGGTCATGTTTCATTACAGCAATGGTAACACTAAAAGACAAACGTTGAAGAATTGATATATAGAAAATGTTAAGCTATTAAATATTTAGACTTTGGTTATTAATATAGTATGTGATTCACAATTTATTTTTCTGTACTATTTTTATTATGGCAATATCAAGGTGGATATTTTGTGCTTCTAGGAAAAGTGGCAATTAGTGATGAGCAACCTAAAAACCAGTAAAGAATGTGGGTACATTCCCCATCTCCAGACACAGTGGGGATTTTAGTCCGTTTAGAATTGAGGATTATCAAGTCTTAGGAATTGTTTTACCGTGTAAAACAATCTCATATGAAATGAGAGCATCTTTATCTAATTGATACTTAAATACTATTTTGAATGTAACTTGATATCTAAATATTATTCTGAGTGTAACCAAGAACCGTTGGCTCTTGGAACACAATCCAGATGTTTCCTTACTTTTCCTTCCAGCACTCCTGGATGATATTTTGTGACTCCCTGAAAAATGACAGGAAAAACTTGTTGCTTACAAAGTTTTGTAAAGTTTCTTTGTCACCTCTGAAGCCGGACAGTGCCATAGGGATTGCTTGTCACAATAGACAAAATTTATTTTACTCTTTTTAGTTTCACATGCCTTTTTTTTCATATTTAGATTTGTTTTGATTGTCGGGACTGTTTATTTCCAGACACTAAACAGTATTGTTTCCTGTTTTATCCAAAGCAACTTGATGCTTGGAATGCTTCCAAAACTGAAAAAGATGTTCATCTAAAACAAATATTTCTCAGAACACAGCATGGGAAGAGAACAATCTTGAAGTAGTGTCTTACATGAATCTGGACCAGTAGGATGTGCTTGAGACGAACTTTTTCTTCACTCACTGTTACTTCTTGGGGAACATGACGTTTGCACTTACTATAAAATGAAGCAGTGTATTCAGGCATACAATGCTCTATACAGTGACCTCAGAGGAGCAGAGTGCACGATCTTCAGAGTGTGTGTTAGCTTATTAGTGCAGTGACAGGTCTTCAGTGTAGACCACGGCAATGGCAGCCAGCCAGCCAGAAGCAATGCCTGAGGCCTTTGTGGAAAGGGCACAGGAGGCCTGTGATGGGAAAGTGGGGGCTTCTGGGGTGTTGGAGGATCAACAAGAAAAACTGAAGAACTTTTTTAAAAAATTAAAAGGAATTCTCTGTGAAAATACTATAATGAAACCTATTACTAGCGTGTAATAAAAAAAAACAAATTTACTATTCATTTGGAGACTGTGTCTCGTTGTCTATCTCCAGTTGGCCTACAACACATGTATAGACCAGTTGCCCAAGTGGAACTCACAGAGATCCACCTGCCTCTGCATCCCACGTGCTGGGAGCCACCATGCCCAGTCTAAAATGTTTTTGTTTTTGTTTTTGTTTTTTTTAAAAAAAGGAAACTGTAAGAGTAGAGAAAAGCATTTCAATTTTAATAATTTTGAAGTTTTCCTTGGTGCTTATCATGTCAAAGGGTAGTGGTCACTATCAGATTTCTTTTTAAAAATTTCTACTTTTTAATTATACCTTTTGTTTAAAAACAAAAAGGGATTTAAAACTACATTCTTTATTTGAAACATACTACTGTTTAGTTTCAGTATTTGCTGCTTCTCTAAAATGCAAAGCCAGTTGAATACTGTGCATTAGCTTTGCTTACTGTAGAATTGTCTTGTACTCTGTTCAGCCTGTATCATGAATCCTATACCATGCTTATTTTTTTCAGTCTCCTAGTATCATCTACTGAATTACTGATACCAGATTCTCTGTCTCTCTCTCTGTCTCTCTCTCTCTGTCTCTCTCTCTCTGTCTCTCTCTCTCTGTCTCTCTCTCTCTGTCTCTCTCTCTCTGTCTCTCTCTCTCTGTCTCTCTCTCTCTCTCTCTCTCTC